CTGCGCGTCCGGAGCCTGTTCCACAACGGGAGAGGCCACAACAGTGAGAGGCCCGCGTATCGCAAAAAAAAAAAAAAAATATGTCTCTAGACCTTGAGGGGCACCCGACTTGCTTCCCTCTCCCATAACGAGCCTGAGGAACGTGCAAATCCCATTCATTCCACACACATTTGCTTGTCTGCATCCCCAGTTCTGCACTTTCAATGTGGATTGGAATAAACCACTTTTAAATTGCTCAGAGACACCGAGGAAGGAGTTAGAGGCAGAAAGAGTTACAAACGCAAAGCCTGACTAGTCTTTAGTGTCATTATCCCAAAGCCCAAGATTCATTCATTTCAGTGCTGCCGCTGTGTTCTGGGTAGAAGGGGAGCCTCAGCAATATACTGCCTCATTTTCATCATATTTGCCGACCGTTTTAGCCATAATTCCGCTCGGAGTCCTTTCATATATTCTAGTCCTCTGAACAGGAAATACAAAATGGGATCAGCGACATCCTCTGAAAGTACCAGTTTTTCAAGGATAAACAGATGACCCTTAAACTCAAAAAAAAAAAAAAAAAAAAAAAAAAATTCCAGCTGTAATCCTTGGGTAATCTTGGGCGATCTCCGACCTCATGGCCTGGGCCTTCCAGGCCTCTTCTCTGTTGCTCTCCAGACATCAGGGACCTTAGCTGCGGCCTATCTCTCATTCTTTGACAGGGTAAGTGGACGGTCTGTAAGTAAGTGTTCTTTTAAGACCTGTAAGGCTGAGTAAGACATTCACACAGCTGGGTTAATAGAAGCGTGTGGGGCAGTGAGGACAGAGAAGCAGCACTGCCAGCTGTAATTTTAAAGGAGCTTTTGAGCTCTCCCCCAATCTGATGTGGGGAGAAGTAAAATGAAGCGAAAATAGCATTGCGGCTAAAGAGCCTGGACTTTCGGCCTTCCCTGGTGGTGCTGTGGTTGAGAGTCCGCCTGCTGATGCAGGGGACGCGGGTTCGTGCCCCGGTCCGGGAAGATCCCACATGCCGCGGAGCGGCTCGGCCTGTGAGCCACGGCCGCTGAGCCTGCGCGTCCGGAGCCTGTGCTCCGCAACGGGAGAGGCCACAACAGTGAGAGGCCCGCGTACCGCAAAAAAAAAAAAAAAAAAAAAAAAAAAAGAGCCTGGACTTTCTAATGATTCTAAAATGTCCTCCTAAGACAGAAGATGAACAGAAAGCAAACAGTGCAAACCGGGGAGCACTGGTGATGGCCACCGTCATCAGACTGCAGATGACCTTGTAAGGAAAGAAAATCTTAATGAAACAAACCTGATCTTTGGCCAAGGAGAGAAATTTATCAAGTGAATTTATTCATGGCATCACACACATGACTTGGGAGGTAGAAATGATCAAATGCATTTACCTATGGAGAAACTGAGGCAGAAAGGAGATGGAGATTCTTCTGGCTTGTGAGCATCCACTGAATGTTCTTAAGTTTGTATATTTATTCATGAGGCTGGTACGTCGAGGGCCTAGCAGAGCTTTCACTTGCAATAAAAAAATCACGAGTCAGGGTTACCTCCAGGGTGACCTCAGTGACAATGGACAAGTCCAACTCTCTAGTCTATTTCCTCCTGTTTAGAATAAAGTTAACAGTAATACCTGCCCTGCCTACCTCTGAAGGCCGTGGTAAGGAGTAAACAGGACAGCATATATGAATATGCTTTCCCACACTTAAGTATCATACACACTGATCAGAAATGCTACGATGCCACAGAAGCTCATCCGCTCGGCCTCTCCCCTCTACCTTGACAATGAAAATGCAGTCAGGACCAGAGCTGAACAATTCGCTATTGACGATGCAGGGCAGGGATCGTGCTTGTTTTCTTTGCTCCTGTATCCCTTGCATGATGCCTGGCACATAGGAGCTGCTCGAGACATATTTGTAAAATTCACACATAAGAGCTTATTAATAAACATGAATTTTCATACTATGTATTGCAATCCTCTTTACTTATCTAAATAATTTACTGAAGTCTGATATATTTGTCTAATACCTGTGATGTTATCGTGTTCAATACCATAACCCTTTTAATGGATTGCAGTATTTTACCTAAAGAACGTGTAGCATTTAGAGGCCAGGAATCAGGAATGCGATAAACACGTGAAAAGGTGCTCTACCTCACTCATAGAGAAAGGTAACAAGCACTGACTGATAGACTGTATAATATCTCCGGAGCCGTTTTGGCTATAACCTTTAAAACTAAAAATGTATATATCCTTTAGCCCAGCTATTTCTGATACGGAAAGATTTTTAAGATATATACGTTTGGGCTTCCCTGGTGGCGCAGTGGTTGAGAGTCCGCCTGCCGATGCAGGGGATGCGGGTTTGTGCCCCAGTCCGGGAAGATCCCGCGTGTCACGGAGCGGCTGGGCCCGTGAGCCATGGCCGCTGAGCCTGCGCGTCCGGAGCCTGTGCTCCGCAACGGGAGAGGCCACAACAGTGAGAGGCCCGCGTGCCGCAAAACAAAACAAAAGATATATACGTTTAATTTTTTTTAAAAAGAGCTTATTAATAAACATGAGGAATACATCAACGTGCCAGCCAACCCTTCAAGGCCCAACACTGATCTATTTGCAGGTCCCCTAACCTCACCGGGTGCATCCATGTCAGAATTATAGAAAGGACAGAGACCACTGGGTGGACGCCCCCAGGATGTGAAAACACCACGCTCATCATGCTACTGAAATGACCGTCCATCAGTTGCTCCTACCCACCTACCCACACCACGTGGCCTGAATTCTACATCTGTGACATTCAGACCCTCAGCCCCTTAACAAATTTTATCTTCCACTATTTCCCGACACACAGACTCACTGGATTGGTCTCTTGACTCTCCTGGGTGTGTCATCTCCATCTCTACCACCTGACTCACTGCCGTCTGTGCCAAATGCCAGGTGCATCCACGCCCGAATCCTTCATCTCTCACAGCTCTCACGATGCCTTCCTTGCTCCCTGAGCCCCCGAGGACTCTTCCCTTGTCTGAACTTCTCCAGTGTCCAGTACAAACGTTTTGAAACAAGCAGGTGTGATGAAAAGCTAGTTGCGGGACAGGTTCCTTGAACAGCGGGGATTGGAGAGGTGCAGGAGTTAAGTGGCCCCAGGCTTGGCAAAACAAAAAAAGATATATACGTTTAATTTTTTTTAAAAAGAGCTTATTAATAAACATGAGGAATACATCAACGTGCCAGCCAACCCTTCAAGGCCCAACACTGATCTATTTGCAGGTCCCCTAACCTCACCGGGTGCATCCATGTCAGAATTATAGAAAGGACAGAGACCACTGGGTGGACGCCCCCAGGATGTGAAAACACCACGCTCATCATGCTACTGAAATGACCGTCCATCAGTTGCTCCTACCCACCTACCCACACCACGTGGCCTGAATTCTACATCTGTGACATTCAGACCCTCAGCCCCTTAACAAATTTTATCTTCCACTATTTCCCGACACACAGACTCACTGGATTGGTCTCTTGACTCTCCTGGGTGTGTCATCTCCATCTCTACCACCTGACTCACTGCCGTCTGTGCCAAATGCCAGGTGCATCCACGCCCGAATCCTTCATCTCTCACAGCTCTCACGATGCCTTCCTTGCTCCCTGAGCCCCCGAGGACTCTTCCCTTGTCTGAACTTCTCCAGTGTCCAGTACAAACGTTTTGAAACAAGCAGGTGTGATGAAAAGCTAGTTGCGGGACAGGTTCCTTGAACAGCGGGGATTGGAGAGGTGCAGGAGTTAAGTGGCCCCAGGCTTGCTGGGAAAGCTGCTGCTCTCTGAGAACGTCTGATACCCTACTTTTCCTGTTTGCCGCCATGTCCCCAGCCCCTCACCTGATGCTTCTTGGCACAAAGCAGGTCCTCAGCAAATAAGTTTTAAATGGTAGCAACCTCCTTTCACAATTTGCTAACTTTTAAGCTACAGCTAGTCTAGAAAACCACTGCCCAGCAATAACCTGAAGATCAACGGTACCACTGAAAAGAAAGCACCGAAGATTCTGATCCCACTTGCAACGCCAAGAGAAACAAACCTCCGCACAACAATACTGATGCCTTTTTACAAAACTACAAAAAACTTACCTTGGTTTCTCGGAGAAGAAACTGCAAGTCCCGTCCACTGAGGATCCCGTGGTTTTTCACGTAACTGGGAATGTTCTTTGTGCTGGAGCCGTAAACAGTCGCGTGCACTTCCATGTATGTGTGAATGATGTCCAAGTAGAGCTTCTTATTCTAAAGAGGGGACACAAGGAGAAGGTATTTCTCTTTTCGTTCTCATAAAAACCTGCCTCATAGCTGGAGGCCACAGAGACAAGAGCTCTTAACATGGAGATTGCATGAATTTGGCAACCCAATTCCTAAAACTTCTTTCAAAAGTAATCTGACTGGATTTTGAGGGTAAAAACAGTCACATGGATACTGTACAATTCTGCAAGAAGAAACATATCCTATAGCGACATACTACTGAATACCAACGATGGCTCAGAGTATTGTCCTAGCCTTGGAAATTACCCGGGACCCAACACTTTGCTTTTGGCTTGTCCTCCTTATGGGGGAGTAAGTTTGGGGAAGGAAAGCTCAGAGAAGGCAGTCAGCTGGGTTGGAATATTTATCCGGAGACGCTAAACTGTCCCTGAGGAACGCAAACATCCCCAGCTCTTGCCAGTATCTCTAGTGATGATTAACTCATGTTGTCAGAACTGGATCCCACCTAATTCGGATCACGGGGAGATGAGAGTTTCCCACAATATACACTGATTGACTCAGCAGATGCAGAGATAATGAGAATATCCAGGTAGACAAAAGTGGAAAAAACGTTAAATGGAAACTTTGATGAGCCCTGAAACATTCAAGAGTAGTTTTACTTTTCTTAGAAGCAAAACAAAACCTCTCCTCTGTGTTGGTAGGTACTGAATTTCGAGGCACATTTTCTAAATCAAAACCACCTGCAAGGAGGAAACAAGCTCCCTTTCCCTTCCCCTTCATGTTTCTGTGTGACTAAGTCACACAAGCTGGATTTTGTGGGTTGTCTTTTGGGTTTTTTTTTTTTTTTCTGGACATGTGAAAGATTCAAGTTCTGTAATGTTTTCCGGTTGTATAAAAGTGGGACAGGGTTCTTCCCATTTGAAGCCTGTTTTCACACACTCCAGGAAAGTGTAATAATCGCCGGTTTTGTGACTTAAGACTGCAAGGGACACGGGGGTGTGGCATCAGCAGCCACAGAGCACATGATGGGGAAGCTGGCCCTGAAGAGAGGAGGGGCAGCAACACCCCTGGGGTGCGGGGCCCTCGCTCTGACCTGGTAGGGCAGCTCCAGGCATCCTGAGCCTGGTTCAGGGTCTACCCTCTGCCTACATCTCGCAGGTGAGAATATTACAAAGCACTCAACTTTGGGGGATACATGTCTCAAATCCTGTAACCGAAGTCTTCATGACTGGATAAACAGTACAGTCCACATTCTCCATTTTATGCACTGAATGATTTTGTTTCGTTTGGAATCAATCAAGTCCACCCCTGCACCCTACTGCGTGAATAAAATGAACATTCCGAATTAAAGTCTAATTTCATGCCATGTTCGGCGTGGCTGGAAGATGCTAAATTCATTACCTCAGAGATGTATACCCTTCCATTCGTGCAGAGGTGACTAGGAACAGTTTATAAACCATGACTCCCATTTAGCTTGAGCCAAATTTAGGATCATCTTCCTGCCGTGAGTTAACTGGAGGGGGTCTATGACACAGTTTTTGTGCTAGAGGGACCTGATTGGTCCTGAGCCCACAACCCCCCTTTCTCAGGGGCTCTACCTCCACCCCAGCCCCTGGTAGGTAGGCAAGGGTTTCTGTAACCCTGCCCACCCCCTGCCACTCCTGACCAGCCCAGGGTGTGTCTGACCTGAGGGGGACCCATCCCCAGGCTGGCCGGCAGCCTGGGACAGTGTGGCCGGGCTCAGGACAATGAGCAGTGCTGGTCAGACCCTCTCTCAGGAGCTCAGAATCCTGCTCACAGAGAGATGACTGACAGACGGCTGGGGCTGTGGGGCAAAAAGGTCATGCGGTGTTGGAGTCCGGGCAGTTATGGACCAGATGCACAAGTTCTGGGGAAGTCAGGTGACAGTCTTGGGGGTGGTGGTGAGAAGAGAACCAGGTAAGAGCTGAAAGGAGGAGAGGGAGACAAAGATGCACAATGGGTAATAGAGGGACCTGGAGTGACTGCGGCCTAGACATTTCCCCCGTGAGTGTGATGGAAAGAGT